ACGGCATTTGCAACCCCCGATGGCCTATACGAATTTAACGTGATGCCTTTCGGGCTCTGCAATGCGCCCGCGACGTTTGAACGCATGATCGACACCGTCCTGCGTGGTCTGAAATGGAAGACGTGTCTCTGCTACCTTGATGACATTATCATCTTTTCATCAACGTTTTCTCAGCACCTGAGCCGCTTGGATGACGTCCTAACATGCCTCGCCGGTGCGGGTCTGCAGCTCAACACTAAGAAGTGCCGTTTCGCCACCAAATCCATCAAGGTTCTCGGTCATGTCGTCAGCAAGGACTGGTATTCGCCCTGACCCCGAAAAGATCGCTGCCGTCCTTCGATTTCCATGCCCCACAAGACTTAAGGATTTGCGAAGTTTTCTTGGCCTCGCATCATATTTTCGTCGCTTCATACAAAATTTCGCTTCAATAGCTGCGCCACTTCACAAACTACTTGCATCTAATGCACCCTTTGTGTGGTCCGAGGAATGTCAGTCGGCGTTTCACCTATTGAAGAAAGCTGTGACGTCAGAACCTGTACTCTGCCATTTTGATGACACCGCCCCAACACTCCTGGATACCGACGCCAGCGGCTGCGGTATAGGTGCTGTTCTCCTCCAACGCAATAACTCTGGACGGGAAAGGGTCATCACATATGCTAGCCGAGTGCTAACTTCTACCAAAAAAAAACTATACCATCACTGAGCAGGAGTGCCTCGCTGTGGTTTGGTCCATACAAAAGTTCCGTCCTTATCTGTACGGCCGTCAATTCATCATCGTAACGGACCACCACGCCTTATGCTGGCTTTCTACAATGAAGAACTTGTCCGGACGCTTGGGTCGTTGGATTTTACGCCTACAGGAGTATCAGTTTGAGATTATTTATAAATCGGGCAAAAAACATCAAGACGCCGACGCTCTTTCTCGTTGCCCACTACCTACAGCGTCGTTCGACACTCCAGCTGCCACCTCCAACGACACCAGTGCGGACGTGACTCCCACTTCTGTTGCCTTGCTCGCCTCGCTGTACCAACCGCCAATCGACGATGAACAACCCTTCAGTTCTCACCAGCAGGCTGACCCGTATTGTCGGCGCATTATAGACCACCTTTCAGGAGCTACGCGTCCACCCAATGCACGCCTTCGTCGACAACTCGAGCACTTCAAGTTTCAGGACGGTGTGCTGTATCGTCACATATATCATCCTGACGGCACACGCTGGGTACCTGTTCTGCCACGCGCTCTTCAACATCATGTACTTAACGCCTTTCATGACGATTTGACTGCTGGCCACCTAGGCTTTCACAAAACCTACGACCGCATTCGAAGCCGCTTTTATTGGCCTGGGATTTCTACCAGCGTAGCAAAGTACGTGGGTTCCTGCTCTCCATGCCAACTTCGCAAACTTCCGACATCTCCCCCAGCTGGTCAGTTACAGCCAATGACGTGCCCTACAACACCTTTCGAGGTCGTCGGTGTCGATCTTTATGGACCCCTTCCTGTTACTGGTGCTGGAAATAGATGGATAGTCACCGCCGTAGACCATATGACACGCTACGCCGAGACAACTTCAGTAGCTACTGGTTCAGCATCGGAAGTTGCTCACTTCATCCTTCAGGCCATAATTCTACGTCATGGTGTACCTGGTGTACTTCCGAGTGACCGTGGAAAGGTGTTCTTATCAAAGCTTTTTGGTGAAGTTCTTCACGTTTCTGATACCACACAAGATGGCGTCTACCTACCATCCTCAAAAAAATGGTCTGACCGAGAGATTTCATCGAACCCTTGCCGACATGATAGCCGTATACATTCAACCGGATCACAGAAACTGGGATAAACTTCTACCGTTCCTCACTTTCGCCTACAACACCGCTGTTCAGCGCACAACAGGCTACTCACCGTTTTATCTCGTTTACGGACGTTCACCTACTTTTTTTATCGACGTTTTTTCTTCACCAGAAATGGCCCTACATCACCATCTTCTTGCGAAGAATATATTTCTCGCCTTGCCCAGTGCCGCCAGCGTGCTCGTATGAACACGGAAGCTACGCAACAAGCAAGGAAGGCCGTCTACGACACCTCTCATCGTGTGGTATCATTCCGACCGGGTGACGAGGTGCTGCTATTGACACCAATTCGCACACCTGGTCTCTGCGACAAGTTCCAGCCTCGATTCATCGGCCCATATGTTGTTTTAGAGCAGACTTCACCTGTCAACTATCGTGTGACGCCTCTTGTCGTGCCAACTGACCGTCGTTACCGCAGCACCGAAATTGTACACGTTTCCCGCATGAAGCTTTTCACACGACGTTCCTCGTCACCTTGACTACCCGCCCGCAGCGGCCAGGCTGGCCGCTTCCACGGGGGGGGGGGGGAATCAGTGTAGGCATCTATTATGCGCTTCATCCTCATCTGAACAGCAGTCAATCATCATCATATGTTCTGGCTGACAATCATCATCTGCTTGGCACGAGCGCTTCTTTGTCGGGTCCGTTGCGCTTGTTCGTTCCCGAGTTCACGGCCAATAAACCTCGCTACAACCGAGTCGTCATAATATATATATATATATATATATATATATATATATATATATATATATATATATATATATATATATATATATATATATATATATATCAAAGAGTAGGGGTGTTACAAGTCAGAAATAGCAGTCTTGAATGATGCATGATCAGGGTTGCTGGCATTGTTGACAGGAGGGTGGTTCCATTCAAATGTGTGCAGATGGGCGCAGATTCATATATTTATTGAAAGAAAATAATACACAAAAAGATTTTCCAACACGCTGAACTAAGCTTACGACCTTTCGCAGCTTTAGGCAATGAGCCACGAAAGCACATGCCCGTCATCAGAGTAACCGCGGTACACTCGTGTCACCTACAGAGCGGGGATCCTGCACGCCCGCGCTTTCTTTTGGGCATTTTCACCGGAACGATTGCGTCGAAGTTTCATGGCACGCGAAGCATACATCACTCGCTTCAGTCTCTCCGTTTGCGAATAGAGCGTGCTTTTCAAACAAGTTGAAGTAACAAGCGTGACATTATAGTTATCGTTCATCTTATGTATTCTTGTGTGTGTGCGTTCCGCGCGTCTTTCGAGCTCGAGCAGTGTGTTGAGAGTCAAGCTGTACACGTTGTTAGCTTGCGCTTGTCTTGAGTGCGTAGTGAGTTGCGCGCTGCACGTTTCAATCTGGTTTCTGTTCTTCGCGTGACATTACAATTCGTTGCTATGGCATTCATTGCTTCACTCTTGCGGTGAAACATGACTTTTGCTCTATCTCAAAGCACCGATCGGCTTTTGGCATAAACGTCGTTTTTTTCTCATTAGACATAAGCGTTGAAACTGTTATTTAAATGTTTGTGCTTGATAACGAACACGTTATGATCAAGTTTTCGTAATCCGACGCTACGATGTCTCCCATAATCATTACGTGGTTTTGAATACTAGAAGTTACATATAGCTAACGTTCTTTTTAATATACAAAATGACATTTTTAACTATCACAATATCTCTCCTACTACCGAAAAAATTTCACAGCATATCCACAAAGTGATTGATGACGAGTGGGGTAACAAATCAATCCGTCGTTTTGACCGTCTGTCTGTCGGTCTGTGCTTTCGTCCAACTGCCTGTTTTGATGTCCGCCTGCCCGTCCGTTGGCCTGTGTCTCTCCGTCCATCTGTCTGTCCATCCGTCGGTCCGCTCTTACCACACTAGAGCACGCATCCGACAGACGAACGTTACGCTCCATTCATCCTTCAGTCTTTGGATAAGCCGTGCAATTTTTATTCTGACAGCACCATCTATCCTCTCTCATCGTTAACTTTACATAAACCACTAGTGTACTCTAGTGATAATATTTTCAATGACCTATGTACACATAGCAATCTTGTGACTAATTGATAAACTAGATGTGGCTACATACATACTAGATGAATAAGGGAGAAGCAACAACCCACAGAAGGAGCTTCGTTCCTAAAAACCAATTGTGAAGACACGAACCAAATATGGAATTTCACTAGTTTTGTTTTAAATTTAAGACACATTCCTTGAACCACTTAAAATGTCAATTCTAGTTAATTGTGATTTATGCTAAATACTTTTTGGTGAAATCTGCTTTCACATTCACCGTCATCTAGTACTTCCGTAGCTTTACTAGCAAAACATTGGGTAACAAGAGTTGCAATAAAAGTAACAAGATACTGCGTAATACCGCGAATATATTTTCCCCTACAGTACGGCCTTGACGTCCTGAAGACAAATTCAAGGACAGAGCCATGACCCCGATGGTGAGACTTTATTGACGCGAAAATAACAAAAAGCATTTGATTCGGTTTCACACTTCTCAACTTATCACAGGCTGTCGCAATTGGTCGTGATCATCTGATTCATAATGCCTTGTCTTAAACTAATAACGGTAGTGTCTAATTATTCAACGTTAGGGTTTTGAAGGAACATACGTGTAGATGAACCACTTGGTTATACAGTGAATATAAATGGCGAGAAACATAGAAATAAAGAAAGCATTACTGCGACTGAATGGCTCATGTCTTCGTCTATTGGTTTCAGGCGACTCACCTTGTGCACGTCCTACGTATGGCAGTATACTTTTAAAATTTACCTAATTTCTTGTTTCCAAGAAAGGTCAGTATGAACAGACGGCTTTATGCGGTGAAAATTCTGAAACCAGTGCACTGGCTAAACTAGATATTGTAGTGTTTGGGTGTTTTGTGGTTTCTCAATGTGGTTATTTTTCATGTGCTTACACAAATTTTTATAAAGGAATCTTTTGTTCGACCCATGTTAGCATGCACTTATTAAGCTTAGAACGCGCGACTTGCTATTAGCAACCGTTCTATAAAAGTGTTCTAGCATTACATGACGCTGTGTGCAATATGTACGATTGAACATTATGTACTCCACGACATAACGAGGTCTGGTATTTTCGATATAGCGCGTACATTGCGTATACTTCTTTCTTCAGATGAGGCACTTTCAAGCCAAGCAAAGTTCCACTACACAGACTACGAGAACTGTGCGGTCCTAGACCTTCCATACAACGGACGCCGTGAGTAGAAAAAAAAACATGGTTCATTTCTCTATCTATCACCTAGTGTAGCGTGAACGCTAAACGAGTTTGTACAAAAGCGATTGAGTGCCTAATCTACATTTACGAATAATAGCTTGCACATGATCTTTTGTTCGACTGATAAAGCACTGTTTAGTATAGGCGCACCTACACCTATGCCTGGTAGCACAACTACATCCTGTAGACTAACAGCAGTCATCAATAAAAGCAGCTTAGCTAGACTTACACGAGGACGCATTATTACATACTATAAATACTACGCAAATATGACATCCACAAGCGTATCATATAGACATTTAAGATGTTTACAAACACAGGCCTTTGATGACATCTCGTTTTGTCCACCCATGTGCCTCAATAGCAACTGTGGGTAACAAGATCGTTAAAAAATAGCCCGCTGATTTTACATACTTTCCTTTCCATAGTTGGCAAATTATGTTAAAATATATGTTTTTTGAGCTACACAAAGACTGCAAGAAATTGCCTAGAACATTACCGACGTTTTTTTATTCTCAAAAACTAATGATAAACTAGTATTATCCTTGAAAAAAAAAACGCTAAATGTCTTTTAGGTTCCACGTTATGAGTTGGTAAATGGGGTGACCGGAAGCTTTTTTTTTACGCACAACGCTTGCAATCATGAAACCATCTACACACTGGTACTTACTTGATTATGCTATTGCGGAAAGCGCCTTTATTTCAGGAGATTGTTAATAATGTGTGAGGCTCAGCATATGGCTAACCTACACCACTGCTCAAAGATACAACACAACTGTTTAGGAACGTGAGTGGGAGAGCATGTCGCTTCAGCGTCGAATGCGCGAAAGCGTTCTTCTCAAGCTGAACCAAAGCACTGACACGGTTGACATTTTCCTAACGACTTTGTTGCCTTTCTGCGGCTCCTCATGCGTTTTTATTCTGTGCCATCACACTAACAGATTCAGATGACAGATAAACCGTGTTTGTGTGTCCGGAACCTTTATTGGGCTAGAGTAAGACACAAAAGACATATCCTGTAATTGCACTCACACAGAATCGAGTAAGCTCGTTTCTTGCGTTGCACTGACAGCCGGGTTGGCGCGTGCTGGAGGAGGGAGATGAATGTGCATTGCAACAGAATGGCAGTAGAAAACGGGCTGGCAGTCTACTCTACACAGAAACTACGAAAGAGCACTGTATAGGCGTTCGTTAGTGCCATGCTATAGTACTTCATTTCCCCACTTGACAACGTCACCCTTGGCATCAAAGAGCGCATTGAAATGGAGACGTGTGAAAGGTGAATGGTGGGTTTAAAAGTGGGTAGCATGCCCACTCCAAAACCCGTCATTCAACTTTCAGCAGTGGGTAGCGTATCCTGCACGTATCAACTTGAAACTAAGTGTCTTCGACCTCCAGGTCATTCGTCTCAACGACAATTCTTGTAGTAGTTTTAAAGCGAAAGCGTTATACGGTTAGCTAAAATGAAAAATCGTTCGCCCCGAGGAGCGATAAAGGCCTCCAGTGGTGGCTCTGTTAGTTCCTGCATAGGCCACAGAAACATGACTGTTATTGCCCGACGAAACGGCATGCGAAGGGTTCAAGTGGAGCTCACAAACAGCCATGTTTTTGTAGCCAGTACAAAATCATGAACCGACTAGTCCACCAGAGAGTATTTCTTGGTTCCTTAGTGATGAAGGAACTTTTACAGCGCAAACACAGACACACCGCAAAGAAAGAGATGGCACTCACAAGCACTGTTTTTTTCTTACTAAGAGCTGATTTGATTTCTTGAACGTCATTGCATATATACTTCCAAGAAAGCCATACCACACATGCGTCATGCAATCGACAAATATCACACACAAAAATTATAATCTGAGTTGATAAATGAAGAAGTGTATTACATACGCGAAGAAATAAAATCAAACTCGGATTGGTGCAATGACAAAGAGTTGTCACTTTTGCAAAAATTAGCACTATTCCTAATATGGTAAGCTTCAAAAGCCAGCAGCGCATGCTCTTCGTTTTTTCTGCCAAAGACCACGTCCCTTCAAAACTTGCCTCACAAATGCAGCAAGTGTTAATAAGTATCACAAGATAGGCTCCTTTGAAGGCATTCCTGCTAACCTTTTGCGAGTGTTACCTGAGCCGCTCGTTTATGTATATTTCAGTTTTTCCGATAAAGAACTTGCCACACGATAGTGGGATGGCGTAAACTACCCGGCAGCACACGACACAGGTCACACCGTGTCTAGTTTTGCACCCTCCTCTACTCATACCGCAGGAGTGGGAGCATAGCTTAGAAAGCTTGTTCGGTGCCAACAGCGCGAAAATTACACCATGTCTGTCTGGTGATAAAACGATAAAAGTGACCTTAAGATAAAACTCTAAAAGAATCAAGTAATAGCTCAAAGAAACACTAACAAAATTCTTCTGAAAAGGCAGAGCCCCAAATTCCTATGCACGCTCGCCCTTAAAACATGAGCTCATGCTGAGGTAGAGAATAAACAAACTTTCGATTTCAAATGAGGAATCATAACTCACATTAGTATTTCCACTCAAGAACTGCACCACACCATCTGCATTTTTCGTACAAAATGGATCATTCTACACTAGCGACTTCATTTTCTTCTGCAAAAGCTGGCAACCATTTTGTTGCCAGCATCCCTATTCACTGACGATGGTTCTAAATGGTATTTATGTCTTATGAGCCTTGGCCATGAAAAACACAACAAAAGTGTTGCCTCTACTATTCTCTATGGTTTTCGCAAGCGATAGTAATTTAAATTTTTTACGAAAAAATTCAAAAACTTTAATTTCACACGAACCTCCCGCTTTCCAACACGAACAGAGTTTTTGGCAATGCCTGCAGTGCTTTCTCGCTGAAAATTCACTTTTCCACTACAACAAAGCCTTGCTCTTTATCAGCCTGCATAAAGCAGAGGTCGTCAGTTCTCAAAAGGGATAATATGCGCCTAAAAATACAATCTGAAGGCCGGGCTAGGGCCTTTTTGCACCGATTTGTCTAATATTCAACGCTCTCAAGTAGGAATTGATCGCGAAACGCTTGCTTCGCTTTCAAAGCAATATTTCCTTTCATTGCAATTACAGCATGTGCAGAAACCTGCGAAGGTATACAAAAGTTTCGTCCTTTTCGCAACAAGTGTTCTAGCTCAACAGACAAGTTAGTCATTTCCAGTCACCTTGACACTTCTCTTTACACCAGTAGCAGATTTTTCACCAGAACGGCGCAGAATTCTCACCATACAGTTTCAATTCGCTTCCCGTTAGTTGGGCTGGCAGTGGGATACAAGAGTGGTACTTCTTAAGAGCCAGCCACTCAGGATCAGTTGTATGGCATAGCATCCAAAGCCAGTCCGGGGAAAAGTCGCAGTTGCCGCCATAGTTCCGAACGTATTAATTTGCAAAGTCTCTTGACATGGGTCTAGGACGTGGCCACAGAGCCGATAAACACTCTCACATCTGTCGGCACATACCCCTTACGAAGGCAGAATCCATAATCCACACAGTCTAGATCGGCACGTCAAATGTGGCAAAGGAGTGCATTGACGACAGCAGAAGGAGAAACGCACGGGGAAGACACGCAGAAAGAGGAACCCACTGCGCTCAAAAGGAACTTCAGTAAAACTGCTTTCGGGCCTAGTTGTTTGAGCTAGTCGTTCTGAACGTCCCAGTGCGCACGCCATAGGCACTGCCACTAGTGACTCTTCACAGTCATTGCGCCCAGCCCGTGCTTATCACCTGCAACGGAGTGGCATTAAAGAAAAGCATAAAGTAAAATTGCCCGCGTATTTGGGTGCTTTGCAGGAAAAGTCGTTGTCTCAGTTGGCACTGCGTGACATATAGACGCCATCTGGCAGGAATGTCTGGAAACGAAAGCTCCTGTAGAACGCAAAGACACTGAAGAAAAATTCATTCATGCACCAATTGGTGCCTGAAATTGCTAAACGCAATAACTCTGGCACAAAACTAAAAACATCATGTCACTGCTCATTCATGCTGGTTTTCATAATTTCCAGCCTCGTTGGAAATAAACAGTTGGCAGTTCAGGGCTCGTGTGTCTCTTTCCACTCCCTTTTATCATGCGTTTAGCTTTGCTTCACAATTAAATCCAGGAAACAGAGCCCCTGGTAGGGGGAAGCACCGTGCTATCTTAACAAAGTGTTGGAAAGAGCCGCTTTTTCCTCTGTAGCGTCGAACTGTCAGGCAACGTAAAGCGCGTTTGCACTGGAGTGACACGACACCGTTACAGACACGAGGCATACGCTGATGGTAAGTCGATGAAGCCACCAGACTGATTAGTCACACTAGGCCGATGATGACGCCTCGAAAGACAGTACAAGGCCATAGTGCTGCGGAATGACAGAGCCAAAGCACCAGCAAAACGTGTCGACAGACTTGTCATCGGCAGGTCACTGGGAGATCCATGGCCGAGCGAAAATTTTCCTTGTCGTTGCTTCAAACAACGAAGGTGAGAACCTGTATACAAATAAGGAGGCCCAGCACGGTACTCAACGGTCATCTTGCGCAACCCACGTTTTCTCGATTCTTTTTGGTCAGTTTCCACCCCAGTCTCTCGAAGTCGGGGGGGGGGGGTGGTGAGACTGTGCTGCGTAGCCCGAGAGGTACAACGACAGAGCAGGGAGGTTGGCTGAAAGTGAAGGGCAGGTGGTGTCCTGTTTCACTTTCTTCACAAAATTTTAGCTGGTGTCGCCAAACGTGCATCCAATCTGACCAAAGAATTACCGACGAATAGCTGTAAGCAAGACAAGGCACAGACGGAGTGTTCGAGAGCCGATAGGCTGACTGTTGGCGGCATTGCAGTGTAAAGACACAGTTACACTAGAGAGACACGACGCTGGCACGACCCCAACGAAGAAACGAGGTAGACGCAGGCGGTTGGCCAACCTCTCATTATCGACGAAGTCGCCAGACCACATGGTCACACTACGCTGACGTCGACGACGCTGCCTTAAAAGACAGCATGGCGTTGTAGTTTAACATGATGACCGACCGAAAACACCGTCGAAACACATCTGCAGACCTGTTGTCGTGTCATCGTCGGGAGAACCACGGGGGAGCAAAAATTTTCAATGGCTTTGGTTCAAACGTCCACGAAGGTGGAAACCTTGGTGAAATAACAATGCCTTATCCAATGTTTCTACGGCGTTTGAATTGCTATCTTGCGTACCCCACGGAAGTCTTTTCTTCGGTTCCGATTTTTGTTTCCCAACCCCCGTTTCTCTACGCTGTGGATTATGGGGAGGGGGGGCTTTGCCTTTTTAGCTAGAGAGGGACAACGGCAGCGAGGGAGCATGGTCTTAAAATGAGGAACCGGTGTTGCAGTTTAGTCGGTGTTTCCCTGCGTGCCTACAGTGTAGTTAGAGAATTGGCCAGTGAAAGTCTGTGAGCACGACAAGGCGCGGGTGGAGTCTTCCAGAGAGAACCTGCGGACTGTTTGTATCGTCGCTGTGTAAATAACATTAAGACAAGACAAAATACACTCCTAAAGACAGTCGGTAGACTAAATATGGTGTTGTGTTTTTCTAGTGGAAACGCGTCTTAAACACTACGACGACAAAACAAAAATGCTCACAAAAGCAGTCGGCAGACCAAAGTTGGTGTCATTTAATTGCCATTTCATTCTGATGTTAACGCGTCTCGAGAAACAATACGGTGTTTAGAATTACGTCTTTGTGCATTTTTTATTAAAGAAACAGAGTAATACTTACGAATTGCTGTCGCACCTCAGGTATGTGTTATATTTGCTTTTTGTTTGACATTGTTAACAAGTAGCAACGCAGCCAGAAAATCAAGACGGCAAGACGTTGATGAAGGGCTTAAAATCTCGCCGCGTGGCTGAATTGTGCAGCAGACACACAAACAGAAAGACAAACAAATTAAAATTTGCGCGTTGAAATAATAAATACAGAATATCTTTTTTCATTGTGCAGCGCGCAACCATTTCTACCAGTGGACGACTTCTCAACGCGACAGACAGTGACGGCGGTGGAGGTCACCTCAGTGAAAGATAAGCAAATCTTGGAAAGAACGAAGCGACTTTAAAGGAGAGGAGAATAAGAGAGGACACCGCTGGTGCGACAGCTTCAAGCTGAGGCATGGTGCAACCGCTCTCTCCTGCAGCAGCAGAAGGGTTAGGAGCTGTGGTAGGGGTACAGCTGGTTTTTGTCGGCGTCCAGGTGAAGAGCGAGTGGGTTGAAGACGTGGAAGTTGGGACTTCTGACTTCTTCCCACGTCATGTCCAGGGTGTTGGACGTCGATGAGGCTGGAGTGCGATGTTCCCATGAGGAGCTAGAGGTGGAGGATATTTTCGTCTCGTTGTTGCTGCGAAAGGTTCGTCCCTCGCAGGAAGCCATGGTCGGGGCAGGACAGGACGAAAACCGGGAGTCACCTTCCCTTCTCTCAGAGCCTGGGAGAGGGTCGTAGCGACTTGGCTGTGGTTCTTCTGAGGCCGGGGTTTGCGCTTCCCGCGCGCAGGCTTTGACGGTGCCTGCTGCTGATGAGTGGACACCGATGGCAAGGTTGCCGTGACGGCTTCCTGCTGGTTCACCTTGTCGGGGACTTGTGCTGGAGTCTGTCACCCTTAAAAGGTCTGTGCGCAAAAGAGCGCGGATTGGCGATACACGGAAGCGCAAAAAAAAACTATTATGTACAGTGTCACCATTACATACAGTGCTAAACTCGGCTGTCAACAACGACGTAGCATCGTGCGCGAAACAGCACGGGTGACATCTGCAGTCGCAAATACGCCACATGTTAGCATGCGCGGTGCCAGTTATGTGCCTGCCTCGCAATGCTCATCCCTGTTTATCGCCGCGTATGCAACTACCGCTTGGGTCGTCAAAAGCGCTCTAAGCAATTTGATGAAAAAACAAGAAAGACGTAGTAAAACCGTTGTTGCTGTGATGTGACATCACGAAGCAAGAATATTTCTTTTTTTTTGTTATTGTTAATTTCGATTTTGTAATGTTGACAGCATTTCGACGGCGAAAAGAGTCATCACGGCCGCTGAGATAAAGAAAGATGAAAACTGCAGGGCCGGCACATTATAGGCGCCGCGCAAGCTCAGATATGGCGTATTCGCGACTGCAGATGTCGCTCGTGCTGTTACACGCGTGACGCTCCGTCGTTATAGACAGTCCAAGCTGAGCGCTGTACATGCTAGATGAAAAGAAACATAGCATTAGCTAAAAGACCATTGATGTAAAAGGTCATCAGTATACGTACCTGCGAAATACCTAAAATTAAGCAAAACATTGAGCAGCATTGAATATAATGAAGGTTACAATAAGGTTCAACTTACTATTTGAAAATGGGGAGCACAGGGTCCGTACGGGCACCCGAACAGCAGACAACGTTCAAAAAACAGGGCCGACAATTGTCTCGTCAGAGTATTGTTGTTCCCCGGGCTGATGTCGCAGTCCGGTAACAAGAAGAGGCCTGGTCAGAGTATTCTTTTTCCCGGGCCTATGTAGCAGTTAGGAACAAAAACAGGCCCGGGTGGTGATGCGCAAGCAGCAACTTTGCATGGAGGATCCGGCAGCCTTCTGAGCCAACACGAAGCGACAACGGCGAGCCGATACACAGCGTTAGAGGCAGAGTAGCGTCAACATGGCGATGGCAGAAACGGGTTTGCCGCGGTTGACGTATGCTTACGGCGGAAATTTCTCGAGTAGCAATTCGGCTTCGGCGGCGTTGTCTGCATTCACCCGTGGCCCCATGTTGCGGCTTCTAACTTTATTTACGGAGTGCTGGTTTCTGTTAACGCATCACGCGAAATTAGAAAAAAAGCACCTAGTACCAATGACCCAGTCTGGCTCACACCCGGTTCCGTTGTGCGCCAGCCCAGTATTCTACTACTGAGCCATGCCGGTGCTTCGGACTTCTGGCAAAGTTGTCTTAGGCAAACATGATGTTGAACAAGCAATCACGATAATACGATATATAAAGCGTTTCTAAAACAGCGAAGAACAAGTAGTCATCACACATTGCGAATAGCCCAACGAGTGGGGGGACGTCCAATGATCCAATCCATTGCAAAAGCTTCTTTTCGTTCAGCAGTTAACTGTGGTGCATACTCAATTGTCTTGACTTGTTACTTACAAGATCTTGGCTAAGATCCACTAGGGGATTGACCAGACTGTACAATATATTGTAATTTTTTTATAAAATGCTTGCTTAAAGAGAAAAAAATCAAATATGAACAATAATAACGTTTCCTTAAAAAGGCGAAAAGGGCACAAGAAATCAATAAACCAAAATTCATAAAAAATTTGCAAAAAACAAGAAGGGGAACAAAAATTGGCCCGAATCTGCATGTTGCATTTCAAATGTCGTCGAAAGACGATAGTCTTGCGTCTGGAGCTAGTGAACAAAACGTTTATTTGATGTTCTGCGCAAGAAAATCGACGAAAGGTATTCTGGAAGCGCAGCGTTAGAGTGCTAGAGCATTTAGCAGAGGACGAACGAGCGCATCGAAGCACGTTAGACACGAGCACTATCTGGCAATTATCTTCGGAAATGAAGGCTTGCGCGCCCGCGGAGAAAGATGCGCACCAGTCTCGGAGGTGATAAGGTGTAGAACGCAAAGCGACGGACAGGTACACCACCATGTCGTCGTAGCAAAGCATTGGAAACATCTTACCTTTTTGAACATCATGTTGCACTGTCAGCGCAGCACGATAAACGCTACAGTCCTGCCTAGTTACTTGTGTGTACCTCTTCTAGTATAAAGGCAGACATGCAAAACATAGACGTGTTGTTATGGCGCCTCATATATGCCCAATAATTGCTTTTAATTGACAATCGCACAACCATGAACGCTAAACCTTGAGCAATATTGATGGGCACTGCAGATGAGGTTGGCTGTTTGGTGCCGTTTGAGACATGGTTAAGGGCGGAAAAACAGACAAAAGTACAGATAGACAGACCAAAATTTTTTCGTCGAAGGTCCCCAAAAGGCTATCGTCTTTACAATTTATGTTTATATGGCGGTAGCGCTAGCAGCATATCCTTCACGTTACCTGAATGAATTTATGTAGCGCTGACAGATTAGCACTGCGGCCCGTACCCAACCGATTAGTTCCAAGCGATAAAAGGGTACATGTATTACCTGCCAATCCCAGCATACCAATTGGTCTCTCAAGAATTATTTGGTGGAGTAAGGCGAAACGGCGGCATGCGAGAAGAAAGTGATCTATTGTTTCGGTTCATTGCAAACTGCACATAGGTTAGTTCCCAGTTCATGCATAGGTCCTCGCCGTCTTCAGCCACTGCATGAACAACTGGCACAAAATTCTACGCTTTTCAGAAGAATGACGAAAAATAGTCAGGTTTAGGGACTATTGTAAACTGGATTTTAACTAAAACAGGGGATTCAGATACAACTCAAAAGCATTTAGCACGAATGATAGAACAAACAACTTGGTTGATCGCTCCGTCACAGCAGTCAGTTGAAAACAAAAGTAAAACGTGTGCTGTTAGTTGAACAATAGCTTATTTTATGAATTGACAATACAAGGAATAACTTATCACCTCGTTTTCACAAGTTTATATGACCATGACTGAAAGTGTAGAGAAATACGAAGAATGCATTTGAGCATGACCCCATATTCAGAGGAAAGACATTAAAAACAAACATCCTCATTTCTGTTACCTCTAGCGCTTTTTTTTGCCTTTCCTTGTTGTCAGTCGTCACACAACGCTTCCTCAATGGCACTCAGAAACTGACTATCAAAAAAGTACGTATCGTCTTTTTCTTTCAGACGCACCTAGTCATTTGAAATCTCCCTTTTTTGTATTAGGCTCAGTATAAAAGGACTGGAAAACAATATTACTTTGACCCAGTTTTTTAGGGCGCCACGAAAATTTTTCTCCAGGTAGTTATAAATATATAGTACCAGATTAAAAAAATTGCAGCACTTCAACGGAATAAATAATGATGAGTGGGGCGTTCATCATTGCGTTTGTCGTTCACGAGTCTGTCCGTGTTTCGGCCTGTACGTCCATGCATGCGTCCACCCGCACCTCAGGATCCTACCGACGAGCGCGTTTCCCAGTGGGCTTTCGGACCTCATTGTTCATGGTCCTCCAAGCAACAAAATCTGGCAAGCACACTCGTACGGCTATGATCCAGGAAATTGATAAATAACGGGCGTGCATGTGCATGTGCAGTGCAGTCTGCACATTCGCGAATTGGAGAGGAGTTGCACCGCCAACGCCGTTTAGCGTACTTTCAGCGCACCGCCATATTGTACGCATGTCTATGAAATAGAGCCCTCTGGGAAACGAGACAATAAATAGCATGCGTACAGTTCCATCGAGTATAGCGTCACCCAACTGCAGTTTGCATGGATGTCTATGGAACAGCACTCTCTATTGTATGACCAGGAAGACGCAACTGGGTAAAGAGCATGGTTGACAATTGAGGACCGACGCCGCTCCACAAACAGCTAGGTCTTGACATAAGGAGCTTCGCCCCTAAAATGCATGACCTGTTTTTAGTTGACTTCTTGTGACCTGAGAATCTACTGAGAAATAAATAAAAGTCCCCTTCCATGCTTCGCTGACAAGAGATATATACTTTGATAGCCCTATACAGGCGAGCCATTTTACGCTCAACATTGAACTTTCCCTTGAATTGGGGCATTTGTGGTTGACAACTTTTGTTTTGCCCTTTTCGATCATTTGCTAATATAGAAAGCCGGTATGATAGGTTTTCTCAACTCTCGTCTTCCAGTGAAATTCCTTTTTCACGTCTCGAGCCTGCCGCTCCTGGTAATACTTTGACCAGTCAGCAGGGGTCGCTAGTCCCTCGGCAAATGCTCCACGATGCCCGTGGTGTCCGCGGCGACCTCCGCCTACGGCAAGTTGCCGGAACTAATCGCGGAGGCCACTTGCTGCTGGACATTAACCCCAAACCATGATGTATGACGCCATGCTTGGGTTAGGAGTGCTCTACAAATGAAGGTGGATCGCTGCATTTTAGGTTCGCGAAAATTACATTAAAAATTTTAGTCAATTTTAACACCTTTAGAGCTCTCAATAACCACGTAAACTAGTGAAGGATCCCGTAGTTCGCATGATGTACATCTTCGCTTTTCTCCTCTTCGGGGAGAAACGCCGTTGTATATTAAAGTATAAATTCACGTCTTATGCGAAAAGAAACAAGTCTCGCTTTAGAAAACGCGACAGGCATTCTTTTCATTTGTGGAACTATCTAAATTCAAGCTGTAAGCGCATGTATGCCTCTTAGCGCAATAGTAAAAAGCACTGCTTTATATATTGTTCTTTAGAGCGAGCACTAAAACAGATCTCATGGTAAAGGTTAACAACAACATGAAGCAGCTCTCTTCCTGGTTATGACGCAATAAGGCGCAAATAAGTACTTGCAAAACAAAATGGTTGATATTTACTCCGACTAATAAACCGCGAAATCACAACTCCACTATTTTTTAGAAGATAGTGTAGTTGAGAAGATAAAGAGTGCAAAATTCTTGGGTGTGGTTTCAGATGGTCTTGGCCTGCAACACACAAATGGATAAAATTGCAACAGAATTGAGCTGTTGATTGCTTATATAAGTTTAGTACCCCTGTTCCTTTTTTGTTTAAAATCACGTTATACTGCACCGTATTTTACTATCAATTAACCTGTTTTATAATATTAGGGGCACTACGAAGCAAAGGAAATACAAGATGACAGTACTGCGAAAAATACTCCTACGTGCCTTTGAGCGTTATCATGGACCTTTACAAAACTTGAAAACGAAGTCTTTCTTTATGGCGTACTCTTCGTTAAAAAACATTAAGATGTACTACTAACAGTTAATGCAACACATAAAACAAAACAAAACATATTAGGTTATAATTGTACCCTCTAATCTTCGCCTTAGCTTTCGGCAAAATCATTTGAGAACAACGAAAATAAGAAGAAACTACGGGAAACAGTTACACAGTTATCAAGCGCACTCACTGCTTATTGGACTACGCGAATTTCACGGCGAGGTTATGGAGGGTCGTATGACTCGTTCAAAACATCTCTCATTTTTCACAGCAAAGAGTTTGTGTGGGAAAAGTCCATTATATATTGTCAATTCCTTTGTCTTAAATCTAGATTTAATTTGTCTAAAGCAAAACATTTTTTCACTGAATTATGTGAATTTTTTTCAAGTAATCCTGTAAACACAACTTTACGTTCATGGACTGTCAAATGTTTCAAATTTTTTATGTGTACAAATGTCTTTTTTGTGGTGAGAATTTCCGTTGATCTCGTTCGTACAGTATATTTTTGCATTGATGTGTGTGTTACGTATACGGCCTGCGTGTCGAGCTGTTGCAGGCGATTTGGCCTTCGTCAGGCCAAATTGCTTTTAGCTTCTTGTTCTTTTCTGTCGCAAACAGGAGAAAACAATCTAAATTCAATTCAGCATAGTGTGGAAAATGCCCATGCAATTTGTTGCACCTCTAGAATGGAGAAGTAGGAGAAACAATCGACAAGCTCGTAGTCTGAGGTTCCGCTTAGCTGGTGTACATGGCGCGACGGGCCACGGCTTCATCAGAAAATAATCTCAATCCTCAAACAACGCGTCTAGCTCTGACGTAAGATGTAAAGGGCATTATATTGATAGTTGGCTGATTCTTTGATAATGATTGTAATTGATTGCTTTTAAAAATGGGTGTCATTATTATTCGTCTGCTTTAACGGTGCAAAACGACTACTATAGATGTGTACCGCTTGTCTTCTCAGAGTGCATTTTGTGGAGCACGGAAAAAAGCAAGAACTCTCTACCTCAGAAGTGCCTGGATGAGTTTGAGAAATATTGTCGTGCTGGCATACCACTTTACGGGAAAGCACTTTGCAGTGACGATGAAGTCGCTGAATGGTGATGCATGCTTTGGAGGTAATCATATAAAGGCGTTGTATTCAACGCAGATGAAGCTTCGATATTTCACTCAGCTTGTGCGATAATCTTATACTTTGGGCATTGCATGATGCATTCCACAAATATGTTCCGCATTGTCATGTGGACGTGTGCGCTGAACTGTTAGAAAGCAATTAGCTGCTGTACTAGCAAATATAATTGACGGTTATCTAGTTTTAATATAAATATATATTCAATGCAATTCTATATTCTTTTTACATAACTTGGTGAGACCTACAGGCACTCAAGGGAAAGATCGTACAAGAGTATATATTTGTTCTCCTTAACCGTGGGACAGTAACTATAACATAAAAGCAAGAAAAGTAGAATTACCAAAAACAAAACATGCTTTTGAAGGGAATTCTGGATGACGCATTTGATGCTCTGCCCATTGAGCAGAAGCGGCAGTGATCCGTCCATTCGTTTCGCTGGGCTTTCTTTTTGTTTTCTTCATTGTAACCCTAAGACCATTATTCCCCGAAGTAGCTCGTCACGATGTTGTATTTTCGTTCAGTTAAGTTTTATTACATGCTTATTGTAATTGATACACAACACCTACTGAATAAAAAAAATGGGTCATTTGCCTTTCTTATTTACTTGCCTGCTGGTTTCATTCATTTGCATTCGACAAAAATAAAGTGGCTTTGATGAATCGCCTTCCTTCGTTAAAAATATGGTCATAGGAAGTTGCATATTTTTTAACTCAAGCACCAATCCTAAATCCCACAAATATTTAAGAACTATCGGAATGTGCACATTTATGCTTCAGGGCTAAAATAGTTTCACAAAAGAAGCAATTTTTATCAATATGGTCCAACGTGTCTGGTAAAAATCTGAATTCTTCAAGTTAATGCGCAGGCTCTAAATATACTGGCTCATAAGAATGACGATCGCCACCGCACTGCGCTTCCAAACAGCTGCACTGATGCGCCTCAATTAAACCATATCAAACAGCTGCGCTTGCATGGCGCTTTTCATACACATTACGACTCAACTGGCTCGTCAGTATGGTTTCATTTATAGACAGATACGTAAGTGCATAATGAAAGCAGAGGTGAACCATCGACGTAAGAAAGGCTTTTACGTCTAAAACTTGTATCGTTGGGTGGACAATATTTCCCGGTGCGTGCCTTGGACACCAATGAAACTAATTGTTGTAGTGTAAAATATGGGCGTACAGTAGCGTCGCAGCTTACGCACATTGCCTTTTCAAAGCTCTGTTCAAGCCTGTTGGTTCAAGATTCCAATTAGTGCATGTGCCTCGGTTAGAATACCGACAGAGGAATAAATTAATAAATGTGTATTATGGACAAATCCTCAGCTCCGCTTCTTGGTTGATCTATTATTAGTACACTAATAAGCTTGCAGGGTTTACATCCCAAAGCCTGATTCGGTATCCTATCTGCATCATCATTGTGAGTCCTCGATTCATCTTACAGCTATCAGATAAGAAGAATGAAGGGTACATAGTCACGCATCATAAGTGGTGTCATACGTGAAGTTTATGGGCGAAGTGTTATTTTAATGAAAACGATGTTTATCAAAACCTAAATCCACATATTGAAGAAGGTATAAAGAGTCACAAGTGATGCCGCTTGCGTGCAAATAAAAAATTAATAACCATGAATGCTCTCTTTTCAACTGGTGCTTTTCACACCCAGAGGTGTTGACACTGCGATACTGTTAAATCGGGAAAGAGAAAGAAGGGCATTATCATTGCCTGAAAAGCTCTTCTGTATTCATTAGGAAAATATTGTGCCAAGCCGTTATTTCTTATTGTACTTGTAAAGCTAACATACCTTGTTGAATCTAGATGAGACCGCGCAAGACACTTTAAGATATGATGACTCTTAAGTGAATATTTCATGTTTAATTTTTACAGAAAGAAATGAACACAATGTGTGGCCACCGGAGTGAAAGACCTTAGTATATGTCTGTTGCAGGATGATGCACAAAGCTTAAATAGACTTCGAAAAAGGTAATGAAATACTTTTATGTGTTTTCATTCTAAGATTTTTTCGAAGCTTTGCCACCCCCCCCCCCCACAGTGAATAAGTTTAACCTTAGGGTGTTTATATTGTCTATAATTAAGACCCGTATTGTAGCGAGATAGTTATCGACATGGCAAACCATGTTTAATGGTGAAAATTGCCTTACTGGTCACCTTGAGCCTGTTTCCTTTATAGTGTTACGCTGACTACATGACGAGTTCGCCGGCTTTTCATTTCTCTGATAGCGCCAGTTGGCTCAGATTTTCGCAGCCTACCTAAAATGCTTCACATCTTCACGGTGCGTCCATACATAGTGTTCTCACTGGTTTCTCAGCTATACTAGAGGACCCGGCAGCTTTCTCCACGTCATGCTAAGTGCCCCTTAAGTAGAAAAACAGCTCAACCGAACGCTCAAGACCGGGAAATTTTCGAAGATGCAGTTGTGCTAATGACTACGCAACCTCAGGTAAGATGCAGGACATTTTGAATACGTTTGTGCATTCACTTACTGCAGCAAGCTATGCGTTATCGTGTTGAAAAGGTCGCTCTCTGTGGATTCTCTGAGTGCCTCATCTCCATGACAATGCTTGAGTAATCAGCTCGCTGTCGTCAGTGTGCACCGCGGTGGAGGAACTTATGATGAAGCACATGTAAGACTCGAGTGCTCTGAAGGTTGCACGGCGATTAGGCCTTATAGAACAAACGCCTTGCGCAAAAGTAAGTAGTATTGGTTATACAGACCTCGCAAGACACACCAGGCAAAGGAACTTGAATTAGAGAGCTCTGTTTGAACGCTCCAAGTCCGAGTTAGATCATGAGCTATGAGATCAACTCTGAATGAGCGAAACACTTATACTCGTACCGAAAACAACTCTTTCAGATCAAACAATGATGAGCGAAGTTAGTGCATGTGCGATATACTCGTATATCTGAGGGGAAGCAGTGTAAAATGTGCTGCCACTCTAGCGTTCATGAATATTAAAGAAACCAATGATGGAAGCAACTGAATACGTCATGCCATGGTGAAGAAAACAAACTATTCACACCAGAACTGCCTGACTACAGAGGGAAGGTGTAGGGGGGAGGAGAGCAGATAAAAGTACATAGATGCTTGAAATTTCGACTTGCTGTAGAAGCTGAAGGGAAAACGAGGAAGGAAGACAGGAAAGAGTGCAGACCACTTACTAGTTTTTGAAGAAGTATTGCCACATCGATGTGCAAGCGCACTAATCTGAGTGACGTTTACTTTTGGAATTGAAGCTGCCGCCTCGTCGGCTTGGATGGTAGCTTCCGCGCCATGTTGACGCCTTCGCGCGGTCGCTTGCGCGTGCCCTGCATGTCGTTGTCCAGTCAGTGCTCGTTTCTTTTGAGCGTTATGCACTCGCTATACTTAGGTTTCCATCCCATGTGTTGTGAGCCACGTGCACTAATCATTCAAGGAATGGTGGGGAGCCATACTGCTTTTGAAAGGACCCCAAAAAAACCTTCCGTCAGAAGTAAAACGCAAATGTCACAAATGGCCACCGATTGACGCATGATCAATTTGCAGCGTAATTGAAAGCAGAAATAACGCTGCCGCTAGAGTTTCAAGCGGGTATTTCGAATGAGCTTACAAGCAAAAAGTTGTACCGGTTTAAACGAGCAGAAATGGACACACTAAGATCAGCTGTATGGCTCGAAGCTTTGGCTCACGTGTACACACACGCACACACACACACACACACATATATATATATATATATATATATATATATATATATATATATATATATATATATATATATATATATATATATATATATATTGTTACGGGCTAAAAGTGTCTGAAGATTATGTTTACTACGGATATACACTCAGGCATACCAAATAGAACCCAGTCTGCACGAAAGCTAAAACATCGTCTTCTACCCTGTCGAGTTCATGTGTGGCGCCACGAAGCATTACCCCCGGTGGCGAAGGCACCGTCTCGGTGCTCGGTTGCTTCGAGTGGCATCGATCAGTTGAGAGACGTGGACAATGTGAGAATACGAGCGCGTGGTGGCGCTGTGAAGTGGTTCAATTTCACAGGTCTCTTCGGTAACTTGGCGCACGACACGGTACAGTCCCGAGTGCGGCAAATTCAGCTCTTCGCACAGGTCAACTTACCGTGATGGCGTGCTAAGAAGAACCGTGTCACCACTTTAGAAGTTGACATCGCGGTGGCGGGCATTGTAGAGCAGTCGTTGGCGTTCTTGCGAATGACTAAGGCGCAATCGACCAATTTCACGTGCCTGTAGAGGTCTAGAGTTAACATCGCGGGCGTAGTCCGATGTGTGAGTAACGGTAGAAAAAAGCGTGCCTAAAGGTAGCCTAGGCTCTCGTCGGTAGAACTGAAATCGTTTTATAGCGCAAGAATGCAATATGTCTTGTATAACCTGGGATAGGAAGTAGTGAATCGATTGGTGAGTAGTTGTCGAGGGGCACCGTGATGTAGTATGACGTCTTCTAGGGGAAATTTGGTGACGTCGGTTGCACAGTGGTAGGAAGGGCCCGTGTGGTGGCATACCGAGTGGTGTAGTCCGTGGCGACAGATATCCACTTGTTCCTACTGGCCAATAAAGGAAAAGCTCCAAGTAGGTCAGAAACTACCCTTTAAAATGGTTCCGATGGTATCTCAATGGGCTCAAGGCATCCCGCTAGAAACGGTGTTGACTTTTTGCGGTGCTGACAGGATTTACAACAATCGACGTAACGGTGGCTGAATCGGTACATACCAGGCCAAAAGAAGTGACGCCTAACGCGGTCATAAGTTTTTGAGACCCCGAAGTGACCGGCCATTCAAATGTCTTGTAAATGCGCGAAGACAGTCTGACGCACATGTTGGGATAGCAGTAGTAGCTCAGGTCCATCAGGATGCATGCTGTAGCGTTATACTACACCGTCTCGGAGCAGGAACATACGCAGAGACAAAGGAGGTGTGGGACCAGTCAGCCCAAGGATGATGAAGAATGATATCTCTCAAGTGAAGATCACCACGTTGCAAGTATTCGATGTTGTTGAAGGCGGTTAGTGCCAACACGCAAGTACACTTGCCATGCTCAGGAACGTTTGGTGGGTCGACTGGATTACGCGACGAACAGCCGGCACCTTCGTGATGACAGCCCGATTTGTAAGCGACTGCATACGAATTCATGTAGCCGTAGAGCACACTGGCCGACACGTCTACTAGGATTTTTTTAAGCACGATAGCCAGCGTAGGGCGAGATGGTTAGTGACAACTGATATTAGACGTCCATACAGATATAGCCAAAATTTACCCATGTCACAGAACGAGCGCTAAAAATGGGCGCGCCGCCAAATTGTCGCGACGAAACGCCGGAGTGATGCCGTGAGGTCAAAAGAAAAAGAAAACAAACATCTAAAGGCTCTCCGGGCACGCGAGCCTCTCCTCTCGGAAGCGTGGCTTCGCCGACGAACCTCCTGACCCCACATAGGTGGCCGAGCAAGCACTGGAAATTTCTAGAAGGAAACCCTACTGAAACGTTCCGTAAGATGCGGAGACCTCACATACGGAATTATTGGAATATGGAAGACGTATGATGCGGGCTCCGCATAAGACGTATGATGCGGACTCCGCATCTTATGGAAAGACGTATCATGCGGAAATTACTGAAATGTGTGCATGTTTACGTCTGAATCAAGTGCAAAGCAATATATAGTGTAAATTGAATAGACGTCCACATCTTGAGTACATGCAATACTGTGTACAAATCACAATATTTCTTAAATGTGCATGATGAGGGATTGAATCATCGGCATCTTACTAATTGTTGTGATGCAGAAGCAAAACTACCTTTTAAATAAAATACATTACAAAACTACTAAATTAACATGCTAGCGATCATAAATGGTGGTTACATTGCAACACATTAATGCAGTGTTCTATGCAAGACCTAAAGAACTTATAAAGTTATTATTATCAATAGAGAAGCATTAATATACACTTCAGCCCTGCTACAATCAATATGTTTTTTATTTGTCTGTATGCTCCAGCTGTGAATAGTGACATTGCAGTTTGATCATACACAAATGAGGTGACTGCACCGCAATTTCACGAGCTCCACCTAAGCCACAGGATGGTGGCCCAATGTAACAGCAATTTTTGAACGAAATGTTTAAACATAAATGATAATCATAGCACTGTGAAAGTGTGGCGCTGTGTTTATCTCATGAATGCCTTGTGGAGATCGGCGAATTGCTGCTTGAGGCTCCGGCACCACTGTAAATTTCGAAGGTCACTGCGATAGAACTTATGTGTCCTTCATAGGCACCTGGAAATGAAAATAATTGGCACAAATAATGTCAGAGACACATGTTAGCACAATGGTTTACATGCACAAGAAATATAACACACAGAATGAAACTGAAAATTTAAGGCACACAATCCTTCAGGTTATGCATATGTGAATAATAGAAGGAATGAGTGTATAAATTAGTTCTGCCACATCAAAAAAAAAAAAAACAGCATGCTTATCGCAGTGAAAATAACAAGGTTGTCACGATTTTCAATGGTAGAGATTCTCGATTACTATGTCCTTATGAAATTATGATTTAAACGCTTCCTGCACAGCAAAACTTTAGGAACTGCAA